GCGGGACTTGCAAATTATGATTTTTGAGGAATAATTTGGGTTCACATCACTTAGGACTTTGGAGCCTCGACATCCAGGAAACATGAAATAGAAAGCGTAGCTGAGATTTTTTTTTTTTCCTGCTAGAATATGATCAAAATAAAATTTAATTAACTATAAGGTAATTATAGAGTTACTTTTAAAACCAATAAGCTTCTTGTTTGGCATGTTGCTAATAGTAGAAAATTGGGCATGTACTTTTTGCTATTCAATCATTTGTTGGAGTAAATATATTTCATCCATCATCTAGATTAAACATCTTTGAGTTGCCTCATGCCGGATTCGTCGAGACGCTTTACATGTAATTATATATTAAGCTTTTAACAACCTATTAATTAGTTATTGGGTTGTACACTAAAACCTATACTTTAACAAAAAGATGTCAAACATAAGATTTATTGTAACGTCATTTTCTGAAATCAAAACTTAGGTTTAGCAATTACGACACCAATAATTTGCACTAACCCTTCTAGATCTCAGACACTTTTCCTCAGTCCCCATATAATATAATATATATAATATATATATTGATTGAAATCAGTAGAAGTGTTAGTAGTAGTAGTAGTAATTTTTTAGTCAAGCCCCATTAGGAATCTCCCCATGAGATTATCAAAATAGCCGCCTACCTTTCAGGACAATGTGGATGAAAACCACCAGATCAAGATGCAGGATTGTCATACTCATAATCGAATATTTTACAACATACTTAAGCTTAAGGTAATCATGAAGGGGGCAGAAGATCAGATCAGTTGGTCCCCAAGTCCAGGCCAAGACAAACTAAACATGCTACTACTATAAAAACATAACATGTGAAGTGGGAATCTACTTTTGCCTTTCTTTCCTTTTGTTCCTTGCGGTTCCAGCAAATAGCCATGGAAAGAAACCATACTCTAATAGTGGATCTTATAGCTACCCGCATCATTAGTCGGATCCAGTTACGTTTGTCTCACTATAATAATCCACGCTCGTGTGCTTGCATTACCTTATTAAATAAATTACCACATCACTTCTTTGCAATGATGATACATGCTGCAGCGTTAATGCTAACCAAATCAGGATGGTTTTTCTTTTTTCTTTTTCTTTTTTTTTTTAAAAAAGAACTCTTTTACGTGGTGTGGTTCTAAGAAGTTTCCTTTGAATATTTCTATTGGCAAATAAATTTGTTGGGAAAACTGTAACGCTTTGTTTGGATTGCATTTTTCTGAATTTTTTTACAGAAAAATTGTCGTAGCAATTTAATATATGCGAGGTAAAAAAGTGATTAAAAAATGAGTTTACGTAGCAATCCAAACAGTGAGATCCAAGTCTGAAAACGAAAGCAAAGAAAAAAAAAGAGGCTAGATTGAAACTTTTTATGCTTTGGACTCCAAAATGGTTAGTGCATGTCAGTTGCAAAAGAAGTAAAAAGGACGCATGGATTCCAGTTCTTCTTCCCAGGTCCACCAAACAAACATGGCCTAAATGCGTTCTTTGAAAATGACAAGCGAGGTCGATGTGGGATGATAAATGTTAAAATCCCATGACCGAGGAATCCCATGAACCGCTAATACTGCCAGTTACCACTAGTGTTACTTTTCATTGCTTTTGAGGCCCTTATCTGTCTTTTCCTAACACCTCGCAATATGTACTGCTGAACCTTAAGCAGTATTTAGGATATCCTGACTAATTTCTCCTCTACCATGCCCTCCGGAAAACAAAACCCCCAAAGAAAAAATGCAAGTATTTCTACATTATTGAAAGGCTATGTTTGGATAGCAAATTTTTTCAAAAAATTTTTTCGCTTGCATCACAAATACATTTTTCAATCCGTCCTTTTATATTCTCGATCACCTTTTTATTTCATATAAATCACATCACAAAAAATACTACAGTAATGATTTCAAATAATTTGAAATAATACTCTATCCAAATAAAGCTGCACAGATTTTTTAGCTACTACAAAATGGAATATTTATTGGACATAATTATTAGAAATGCTGACTTCGATTACAGGATTGAACATCTTCAATTGTTTTCCTTTTCTTTCAAGCATGCACTGCCGCACCCAAAAAACTTTTTTTTTAAAAAAAAAAACAAGCAGTTGATGGTAGGATTGCGATTTTTTTCTTTCCAGGTGAAAAAAAAAATCTTTGTAAAATTGCAAATGCTGATGCTCCCTTTCTGTCTCTCTACAGGTTGCAATTTTGATCACTGATTTCCTTGTCAAGCAGTAGTTAGATTTATACAGGCAACAGTGCAGCAAAACGGCAACCTGGAACGTAGTCAAGCATAGAATGATTCAACTTTTGATCGTAGTGGGTCAAAAGTACGATCAACAGTGTGATGATTTTTGTCATGGTATAGCATAGCTTGAATGATTGTGTTACCAGGACCAAAGTGGTGACATCACTTCTAAGCGACTTCCTTCACAGCATTATCAGAATCCTTTCCCCGTCCTATCATTTCAAGAAAGTTTAAAAAGTGCTCGTCCTCTTTGCATGTACTAATTAGCAGTCGCTTCATGTATCACTTAAATGGCGAGTGATTAGTAATATCCCAATCCTTTTAATCATCCTCCAACAATACGTGCTTGCTCAATGATCAGATTAACACATTTTTTAATTACTTTTTTACCTGATATACGTCAAATTGCTAAAATACACATTTATATAAAAATTTCAAAAAAATAGCAACGTGTCTTTTCTTTTTTGCATATTCCTGTAATATCCCAATCATTCTCCAATAATGCGTGAGTGCTTCTTCTTCATAAAAAAATACAGTTGGCGGGAAAACGATTGCTTTCATGAATTACTGCAGCCTTTTTCTAAAATCCAAGCTGAGTGTCTCTTTCGTCCAAACAATTGGACAAGAGATTATTTTTGAAAAAATGCTGTCGTAATATTTTTGTGATGTGATGTACGTGAGATAAAAAGGTGGTTGAAAATATGAAATTATAACTAAGAAAACATATTCATAAATGTAATCAAACAATTTTTTTTGCAAATATCTAAACAGAAATATGATTAAATGGCATTGCAAGCTTGTGTATCATGACAAATTATGAGATGAAGGGTATTTCTTTGCCAAACCAAACGTGACAGAATTCCAATTTTGGAAGTTTTCATTTGACCCCTCTCAGTTAGGCCTGTCAACGGGTCGGGTCTAGACCCGGATCCGGACCGGATCCGTGAAATTATTGCGGGTATGGGTAGGGATTTAATTCCGTTTCCCAGGTCCGGATCCGGATCCGTTTTGTTAAACAAAAAAACGGGTCGGATACGGAATATAGTATTCCGACCCGTATTAGACCCGGATCCGGATATAAATGAATTAATAATTTAAAAAATATATATTTATCAATATAATTTGATTAGGGTGATGTATTTTAATAAAGTTAATTTGATTTCTTTTCTTATTTGGTTTTTTCTTTGCATTAGTTAGAAATTAGTTTACAAATATATTTTTTTCTCATTTTTATTAGAAATTATAAATTTTGGTAAATTTGTTCGGGTAGACCCGGATCCGGATCCGGATCCGGAACATAGAATAAAAGACCCGTCGGGTAAACGGGTCGGATCCGGATCCGGCAAAGTAATCCGGGTCCGGAATAATGAATTCCGGCCCGTTGACAGCCCTACTCTCAGTCTCAACCCCCAATTGAGTTACTCCATCCATGGTGGATGAGGACCCAACTTTGGAAGTTTCACTACTATCTTCAGTTGTATTTTTAAACCATCTATGAATTTTGGGAATGACATTGGATGGACTAATACCGCAGGTAACAAGAAGTCTATGACCAGCTTTAAGGTACTCTCTAAATGAAAGAAACTTCGTCCATTTTCTCTTGGAATTCACTTCATGTGACATCCTATTTTTCAACTGAGTTTCTTTTCCAACTTGATTTGCGTCATCAAGACAAGTTTATCCTGATTAAATATAAAATCCTTAAACAATGAATAAAGGAGATCTTGAAGTACGTACTGATCCCAGAGACGGGCAGCCGATGATCATTCTGATTTAAATATATGCGGTTTTCGGTTGACTAATCTCTCTTAATTACATTTTATTATTGTTTCGAGACGATATATCTTATCACGTTCCATCATTGGAGTAGTTAGAAATACATTGAATTCCACCGCATCATTTTGGTACGTATTACCAAAATATGTTCCAATTTCGCCAGCGCCCACTCTATAACTTCATTCTGCCCCGGTGATACTTCAATATAAACTGTTGAACTAAATATACTGCTGCAGACCTTTTTTGTTTTTAATTCTTTCATTTTACAGCACAAAAATAATGTAGGTACACTTTAGATTTTACGGGCGAACAAATTTATGGCCCAAAAAATTGCAATTTGCCCACCTACTATTTTTTTATTCTTTTATTTTATGGAGAACAACTACTGATAATGTACATGCATGCACTTTAGATTTTTGGTCTAAAAGAATATTTCGGACTTTACAAAAAGAGAAGGTAAAAAAAATATTTTTGATGTAAAGGAAAGCTCCAAACTTTACAAGAGAAAAAAAGCAGGCTATAAAAAGAAGATTTCAAACTTTACAAAAGAGAAGGGAAAAAAAATATTTTTTTTGATCTAAAGGAAGACTCCAAACTTCAATAGAGAAAAAGAAGGTTTAAAAGGTAGGCTCGTCAGCCTTGAGAGTAGAGTCAAAATCCCATGGCCCAGCAGCACCGACTTTTAGTTCTTACAGGGCCCAATATTTCCCCGCCGTATGATTTTAAATACTCCAACCAAAGTGGACTTTTTCAACAGGCTTAACAAAGATTTCCCCAGACACTAACTTGTATACGGCCCCGCCGAACCGGAGGCAAAAGGAGCCCAATTCGCTAAATCCATTGACAAACAGCGCTGCACAGAAACCGATCTCGACCGTCCGCTACCCTCAGGCCGAGACTGGTTAGATCCCATTTCCGCCGTCGGATTATTTCTTCCTTCCCCACATATAAAAATAAAACCCTCTGGAAAATAACCCACCCCATAAACCCTAAATCAAACAAAAGCATAAAGCCTTGCGCATTGCATCTGCAGTATACTCGCGCCGGAGATCCCACCCCGGCATGGCTTCTCAAATGAGCAAAAAGAGAAAGGTCATTCCTCAGTCCATACTGTTTATTCAAATAATGCCACACTTGTAGGTGTAAACACAACTGTTGGCGAATATTCATTATTTATTATTATTAAAATTTTTTTTTTTTTGGGGGTAACGAATTTCTGGTGGGCAAATTGCAGTTCGTAGCAGATGGAGTGTTCTATGCGGAGTTGAACGAGGTGTTGACTCGTGAGCTGGCGGAGGATGGATACTCTGGCGTGGAGGTCAGGGTAACTCCCATGAGGACAGAAATCATTATCCGAGCCACTCGCACCCAGAATGTTCTCGGTAACTACTACTAGAGTTTAATTATTATTAACTTTCCCGATGTTTGTTGAATTCAATTTTTGTTTAATTTGGACCTGTAGTTGATGATTTTTAGTTGGTTATGCAGTATTGGACTGTTTCGTTTAGTGTTGGTGTAGAAATTTAGTGGATAGGGTTCTCAGAAGGGTTCTTCTGATTCGTTTAGGCGAGAAGGGGAAGAGGATTAGAGAGCTTACGTCGGTGGTGCAGAAGAGATTTAAGTTTCCGGAGAACAGCGTGGAGTTGTATGCCGAGAAGGTTAACAACAGGGCACTCTGTGCCATTGCTCAAGCTGAGTCGCTTCGATACAAGCTGCTCGGTGGCCTTGCCGTCAGGAGGTAATGATGTTGGGTCCGTATGCTAGTTTATTAGTAATGTTTTGTTCATTGCATCCTCTTGTAGTTTTTGCCTGTTTGATTAAATGGTGGGATGTTGGTATGATCTCATAGATATGAACAGTCTTAGCAGAATTTCGTCTTTGTCTGTATGAAGAATGATGATGACCGTGTCTTTATTTCTTTGTCATATTTTGCCTTGTGTTCTTGTTTGTTGCAATTATGTGCCAGTAAGTTGATAATGTTATGATGTTTTGCAACTTGTACCATACTGTTAAGTAATAAAGTTTTCTTTTGCAACTTGGTAGGTTAAAAGGAGTTGCATATCCTTATCATTCTACATTTTAATTGCTTTGTCATCGACAAAGCAGATTGGTCTTCTGCTACCAATTTTTGTGTCGGATGATGACTATAGAAAATGTTTTCCTCTGTGCTATTATTTTCATGAACCTTATGATTGTTCATGCGATAATGTTTCAGAAGGTACATTTATTTGGGATAAGGAAATCCTAAGTTCTTTCACTATTTGTTTCCAGGGTCTCAGCAGTGGATGTTCTAATCGGCACTATGAACTATTAAACAAAAGTTTTTCTTCTGTTTGTTGACAAATGAAAGGGAATTATGCTCATTAGCGTGCTGTGTTCCATTTGCTCCGTCATCAACAAAGCAGATTGGTATACTTAGTATCAATTTTGTGTCGGATGATGACTAAAAAAAATTGTTGTCCTTAGCATCTCGAGTCCTTGTCAAATTGATGATTGTTCATGGAATATGTTTTAGAGGACACATTTGGTTTACAAAGGAAAGGGAAATCAGAGGTTACTCTTAGTATTATAAACCTGCATGTGGCAGCTGTTTTATCAGGTCCATATAATCAACCATGTGGATTTTGGAAGTTGCTTCTTTGCTACCATTTTTTGTTTAGTTTCTTTGTCATTGACGAAACAGATTGGTATTCTCGTACCACTAGTGTGTCAGATGATGACTAGAAAAATGACCTGCTCTATGAGGTCATCTTCACAAATGTAACAGGTTTTCATGCTGTAGTTTTTGAGAGGATGAATTTGTCCCAAAATGTGAAATGATGCGTCCTTGCAATACTGTGATCTTCTCAATGCTGGAATGTGAAACATACATAATATTCTTTTACTAGCAGTACTTCAATTTTCTCAACTAGAAGCTTTTCTGACTTGGTTTCTGTATTTCAGGGCATGTTATGGTGTATTGCGATTTGTGATGGAGAACGGAGCCAAGGGATGTGAGGTACTTAATTCATATGAATTTGACCTTGCGCTGTTGTTTAGCCCATCCTACTTCATTAGATTAGTATAACGTACTTGTTTCATCTTACAGGTCATTGTCAGTGGAAAGCTGAGGGCTCAACGTGCCAAGTCTATGAAATTCAAAGATGGTTACATGATCTCTTCTGGACAGCCAGGCCTTGACATACTCCCCATTGCTGAAGGAGCAACACTCACGCCGCAAAAGAAGACTGGAAACATAAATAAACGAAAGTAAGTAATGACAATAATTAATAAGATGAAACATTTGGCGTATACAGTTGTCCTGTTACTGGGAAGAACTTGCCTGTTAAAAAGTTGAACATTGATGAAAGAAAATATCTGAGTGAAAACCTTGCGGACCAAGAAGGGAGGAACCTGTAAAAGTACAAGATAAGGAGCAAGTATTAAGAAATTGATTCAGAAAGAAATATTTCCATAGAGTGTAAGTTTTAAAACTCACGGAGTTTGCTTTCATTATGTTCAAGTAATTATTTAGGCTTTTCACAATGCTCTGCCAATGAGCAATCAAAGCTTGTTGAGCAACAGCATTAGCTTGAGAGCGTCCTTTTACCAAACTAGCACGAGATGTCCTAGGAGCCTGCAGTAGACAATTCATTGCCCATGAAGTGAATACTTTTAAATTTATAGGAAACAAAACTAAGCTGCATAAGTTACCAACTCCATTATAACTCCAGAAAAGAAAAGAATAGAAAACAGAGAGAGAAGAAAAGAAGAAGAAGAAGAGCTGGAATTGCATAAGGTCACACAAACTAACGAAATGGAAAAAGAGAAAATAAGGGAGATATTATGGGTACCATGGATGCAGGGCTTCCAGAAATCATTGGCGTACTAAATTAAAAATGGTTTCAATTTTTTATTTGAAACCTGAAGATGAGCTTCTTTAGGAAGGTTAGCAATGGTAGTTAACCTCCAAGATAAGTACTAGAGCTTTACTATTGGCCAAATCAAGTAAGGATGCTAGGAACACTAACCCTGCTAAATCATCACAAACAAATCACTAATCATTTGCTTATCCATTAACAAAAAAACACTCGTAAGAGCTGCTTATTGTTTTCTGATGCAACTTGCAGCAATCTAAACATTTGTAAAACAACAGGACATGAAATACCTGGATGCACAAGCCAAGCAATGGAGAAATCTCTTTCTTTAAATTGTCCCTTATCATCCCATAGATCTTCTCAAGGAAAGCAGTAAGCTGCTGCTTGAACAGCAAAGCAGGATATTTAGCCTCAACTTGACGCAAGTCATCTAGTCTACCAAGCACCCGGCCATTAAGAAATGAGAGCCCAGCACTTTGTGGAGATCCCCGTAATCCCTGCATTTAAGGAAGAAAGAAGAATTTACAGAATTCAAAACAGAAGATCAAGAGAAAAGGCCACGCAAATCAAATCTTAGGCCCATACTTGAGACATCCTCCCAAAAAGTGAGGCTGATGATGACCTCCGCCTTTGAGGAGTCAAACTAGCTGCCCCAGTGGCTTTGAGTGTGTGTTGGAGCAGCATTAACAGCGTAGAAGTATTACACAACCAGTAAGTTAATGTATCACTGTTGTCTGAGACCTAGAGGACAAAGGTTGCTCAAATTAATACAACTCATGTAAGCGATTTCTGATGACATTCATCAGCAAATGCTAGTGAGCAGATTATCATGATTTATGGCTACAAGAAAAATAAAATTAGCAATCCCATTATAACAACAAACCTCTATTGCTGAAGCTATTGTTTGGATGATTCTGTCAAACACTGTAGTTCTCTCAACTTCAAATGATCTCCAATGAAGAAGGCATTTGTAAATCAAACAAGCAGCAATTGGTTTGCCACCAGAAAATCCCAAATCTTGAGAGATGCACTTGATGAGCAAGTCTTGGTTCTCCTGCAGCAGGATAGTGGATTGCAGGAAAAGATTCCAAAAAAATCAAATAGGAAAACCAAGAATTACAAGCATAATATTTTATGCATCCAAAAAGCACCCACCTGCTGCTTTTCATTAAGAAACTTTTGTGGTTTTTCCTCAGATTCAGACTCTTTTGGACTGGCTATAGCAAGAGTCATGTCCTGACACATGTAACATATGATAAGAAATAACATCCCTTTCCATTGGTTGTTACCCAAATAAAAGTACTGATGCTCCTTACATGTGCAACCTTGGTTTCACCATTTGGAATATTTCCATTCTCTGGAGTTCTCTGCATGTACACCAAGCAATCTTTATTTTTCTCAACATAGCATGTAACTTCAAATAAGCAAGAAGCGTGATATTACCTGTATAATAGTTGTTTTTGGTCTTGCAGATATAGTTTTTCCAGTGGGAGACATTGCCAAAGCTTGTTGACGAAGAACTTGATTCTCTGATTCAGTATTCGAGAGCTTCTCTTCATGCCTGAAACAAGAAATAAAGAGGAAATTTGCAACTTTTCCCCATAATATGCAATAAAAGCAAAACTGGATACAAGTGCCTATGTGCTTGTGCATGATTAAGCATGCCTGATTCAAAAAGACGGGTGCAAGTGCACATTATGTGTTACCAAGCATGGGAATGAATAAAAAGAGAGGACAATAGAAACAAACTACGACAAAAGGAGATAGAGAATCCACAAACACATGCATTTGATGAACAACAAGAGGATCAACAGCAGCATCAAACTTTCGATTGAAATCTTAAACAGGCACAAAGCTAGAAGGATAAAAAAAGGAGGAACAGAATGACTACCTGTCACTCTTATATTGGTATATAGCATTTGCTTTATCAAGGTAATAGAAATGTTCTACTACCTACTTGATCAATTCAGTGGTTCAAGAACAACTATAGCACGCTTGAAACTTAAAACGTGTTAACATACCTCTGCAGAGACTCCTGCAGCTGATCCACTTTCCGTTCTGCATCTTCAAGTTTTTTAGCCTGTTCTGAATTTCTGGCCTCAGCATCTACAGAAGCCTTCTTTGCTGCTTCTGCAGCTTGCCTTTCAGAATTCAATGAAGCCTGCACAAGCAAAATGGCTATGTCAATACTCTTGGCCTTAATCTAATTATCGCCATAAATGGTCATCATTGTTATCCAAAATTTAATACTGACTGGAAGCTTGAAGCCCATGAGTGAGCCAAAACAAAGTGAGGAACACGTATGACCATCCTCTGAAGGTGGATATACAAAAGATTTACATTTCTTCAAATCTATATAGACAAGTTTAATCAGGACATGCAGGTTAAGCCATGCTTGTTCAAGAACGCAAGAGATATACACTACTAATGGTCCAAAAGACTCTGCTAGGAGAACTATGCCAGCTTTTCACTGTTTTACCAGGCTTTAGATATGTATCGCAGCACTTATTATGTCTGAATTCTTCACATTTGCGAACCAACCACAAACTGCTTTGTAAGAGCTTATTGTGTAAATAATGCATATTAAGGACAGGCATTTGGCTTAATTCCAATAACAGAAGGAACACTGATCATGAATAAAAACACATTTATCCATCACATTTGACATGCTTGGTTTACATGAATGCATCAATTGATTATCCACAACACAATACAGTAATATAAGACAGCTTCACTACCTTTAATTGTTCAACCTCAGCTGTTAATGCTTCAACTTTTTCAGTATCTTGAACTATAACAGGGGTTTCCTTAATCACAGGAGGAGCTTCTTCAATGGCTTTTCTTGCTGCTTCCCGTTCTTTAATAACTTT